TTAAAAGACGCAGATTGATGCCTACAAAATTTAATGTTTATGACACGATTATTTACACGTGGCATTTTTAATAAACTTGGTATCCCAAGAGCAGAAAATGCTTGTGCTCTCTCCACAATACAGCAAGTACTTGAACAGTAAATGTGTTCTTGGTGAAGATTTTCCTGCTACTCTATGTGACTCCGTAATTGCTAGTAAAAAGCTCCCTGGAAACTTCGTGTTTGTGCAATCTCCCATTAATCAGCTTGCCGTACTATTTAAAAAAATGAACTAAATCAGGGATCTCCAAACGATTAGCCAGCTAAGAGTAAAATATTCTCCATCTTTCTGATGGAAAATTACGAATAATTTATTTTTAGTGCTATCTAATTTTCACAACAACATCCCTGTTAATGGGTATTCAATATTTGCTGATATTGCTTCGTACTGCTCTCGGTTTTATAAGAATCTTGTTTTCTGCCTTGGACGTTTAGAACCTTTTCGTCTTTTTTGCTTATTTTAAGAACACCACTACTGGCAAAGTGTCAACAGAATTGATAGCACTTACAGAACATCTTGAATGCGGATGCCGTTCCAGGTGAGTCGAGGTCATTAGCACGTCTATTGGTTCCTTAAAAGCTCACTATCGATCGGTTCACTGCACGCCAAGAATCATGAAACGACACTCAGCGTTTTTTAATAAATGTCAATCGAAAGTCTGAAATATGTAGTAGACTATAAAAGATAACCTGGGTATATTTGTAATAGTAATTGCCCCGTAATCGGTTGGTTTGTTTAAAATTTCGTTTGTATTTTTGCATTCAAAATCTTATCTACAAGAAGTTCGGATCATTGATATTTACCATTTTATGTTATTTTTACGAACCAAGCCTTTCATTTGGACAGATGCCGGCTCATTTTTCAATTAGAATTCTTCTGGAATTTGCCGTCATTGGTATTTAGATACTGTGCATGGGAATTATATCAACAGTTTTATTTAATGCACATAGTTCCATAGAGTCATACGTAGTATGAGCTTTTTTCATCCTCAATTATTGCGAAACTCCAAGGGTTTATTAAACAAATTCACACCTTAACAAATCTGCACTCTGCCCGTTATCATTTATTTCTATGCCTTTTTTAAATCTTCTTGTCTACAGTAGACTGAAATAAACAGAAGTATTCGTTTATTGCACGTGAGCTCGTAGAATGGAGGTCAGCTGTTTTTAAACCGCTCAGTGTAAAGCGAAGCTGCTAGCGTCATTGTACTTGAAAATTGATAGTATTGATTTGCCGATATATAGAAAATGCTTAGTCCCAGGCAGATACGTTGATCAGTGAACCTGACTGCTACATTAGACGATCAAATGTGAACCCAAACATCTGCCTACTATAGCTCTGAATTTAATGATCGAGTATAGATATTAATGGTTCTTCGAGCGTTTGGGTCTTCATGTACTCTATTTTCACCGATGGTTTATAGGAGTGCTATTTCAGGCGGCGCTTCGTCAATCTTCAAGCGCCTTTATCAGTTCTATGAGGACTGCGCTTTTTAAATTTACTACTAAACTTAGATATTTCTTGTATGATATAGTAAATTATTGTCAATATTTACAACCAATGGTTTTCTTAGAAGAGCAATTTCATCAAAAGTTAACTGTAAAAATCTAGTTTTCTATTTACCAGTAGAAACACTGCGTTTACTGATCCGAAATATCTCGACGAGAATTTGGCGCGTTCCGTTGAACAGAGCCTACAAAGAATGTGATAACAGACACCGAAAGAACCTTGCTTTTAAGTGTTGCTACAAAACCAAATGTTGCCATTTGTACAGATATCTCAGCGGGAATGTCTTTTGTGCACCTTCTGTTGCCATTTGTGTGGAACTTTAAAGTACACGGCTGGTCTATTTTCGGCATTTTTCTAAACGACCTAAGTTATTGCGCCGTTGTCGTAAAAGAATCCTGGCCGACCGTAGATCGGTTTAAGCAAATGCTTAAAACATAACAATCTAGTTTCTATTTTAAACACGGCCGACAACTTCGAAAGCCTATAATAAGTATAATAAATCGGACAAGGTCTTTTTTAAATTTACTGGATGAATGACACAGATTTTAGATCGTAGAGTTTAACTAACAACATACTTCTAGCAATAGCCCAATATAAGAAAAATTCTGAAAATATTTAATTCGGTTTTCCCGTTGCAACTTAGATATGTATTTCCTGTCACGCTCTAACTCAAAACAAACTATTATATATGGAACATGAGGTCCTTTGCCACGCTATTTCATGGTTTAAAATCCGCATTTGTCAGGGTTCATCGTGAAATATGCCGAATTTCGAAAACATAGTTTCCAGCACAGTCGGGTCTTCGAGTGTTCTGACCCGTAGCTTTGTGTGGAAATCTAGCTTCAAACTAAATCTAGCGAGTGAATCTTTAGATCATACGCCGACTTAAATATTCAGTTGGTGGAAGAGGTTAGTCCAAAATATCTGGCCTCTGCAACACACGTTTTGGTAGCCACTATCCCTCTAAATCTTTGTTCGTGATCTCTCTCTGTACCATACTTTTCTAACAGCGACGTCTATTTCTCTTAGTTTAAAGCTGCATAAAACTGATTTAAGATTGATGCAGTCCCCTTCCTAAACCCCGGTGTAAAGGAGTTTACCTTGTTTTTCAAACAATAAACGCATATGGAGGCTGGGTGATTTTTGTATAGATGAACGCATGCAAAAGATTGGTTCGAAAAACGTTCAGACCTTTTTATCTAATCATAGGTTTTTTAAAGCACACACGATAGTAGACTGTTTTATGCATGATTTGCGGGCTCTATGGTTGGTGTTGTCTGTTTAAAGCAAGAATATAATGTCTGCGATGAGGAATTCCTATGATGGTAAGCTAGACCTGATAATTTGTATCAAAGGAAACCAATGGGACAAGGGTAACCTCGAAATTGTCTTGTAGGACAACATTATTTAGCTAATTAGGACTTGTTTCCTGAACGTGAGACTGAACTGCATTAGCTCATGTCAGTTTTCGCCGCCTTCGCGCCGAGATGTTCATCTTCTTGTTGGCTTACTATTAACTAACCTGATTGAGGGGCGAATACCTGCTTTTAAGGGAATACCTCGTAGTCACTGCATGTCTGAATATTGAAAATTTCCTGAAAATTTCCCTATGCACCTGCTGCGCGCAATTTTGCGTCCAGTTGAAGACAACGACGTAGTTTCATGATATTTATTATTGCCCTTTTGAAATACGGCGGTCTGATAACTCAGTTGATCCTTAAGCCTGAACAACATCATGCTCATTTCACCAATTAACCTGCTGTTTAATCTACCTTTCCTTCCCTCTTCATAGATGTAGTGCCAGGCTTTGCGTGCCGCCGCTCCAATTAGTAGAATTTACTGCAGATGACTGTTCCTGCGCTTGTCCTGAAGGCGATGCACGTTGTGAAGCCCTACTCGACGGCAAGACTGCCTTCACGGAGGCTGAGTGAGTTCAGTGCGCTTTCTTTAACTGTCTAATTTTTAAATGGTGTAAACTGATGCCTCCGGTTCTGACACCCATTGAAGGACGACAACTTAATGCCGAATCAGCCACTGGACCCTAGCCGTGGGTTCAGTCCGTTTGACTCTGGCTTGACGCTGACACCCGACGGAAGAGGCTAGAACGAATAAAGTCCACAAATCGTCAGTCTGTTTCAATACAAAACCTTGCCACACGCCCCGAACTGTCACACTTAGTAAAATTCAGGATTTTGAATGCTGTCAACTGACTGGCTTCAACGACTCCTCTCAACTGGGAATTTAGAGAGCTGCTTCGGAGTAGGACTGCAGTTTTGAAGTCCGTTTCGTACGCGTGTGAAGTTCGTACATATGTGGTGCCTGTGGGCGTTGATTCAATCTTTCATCTTCCTGGTGGATTGCCAACGCAGGGTGGTGAATTTGGGAAGAGTAGTGCGGGGTGAATGAAATGCAAGCCTCCCTCACACGAATGTCCATCCTCGTGCCCATCGGGTGCGGTTTTATTCCTCATCACCTGCGAAGGCAAAACTATCGTAATGCATTTGTCTCTCTTTCCGTTTTCGTTTGCACTCTACGCTGCAGCGGTTACTTTAATGCGTTCTTTGCAATGTAATGATATCAGATGCGGCAACTGATTGATACGCAGTCTTACCTCCGGGGCGTTGAAGCTTCCGAACCAAACACGAGAAGCAACACATTTCCAGAACCAGTTACAGTGTTAAACACCGTAGTTGCCGTCCTTTTCTTTTGCGTTACAGCAACAACGAAATCCAGTAAAAGTATAAATCCTGAAAATATTAAGCCGGCAATTAGGGGTATTATTGTTGGTTCCTACTGATTTCATTGATGAAAGTCAAGCTGGAATATTAAAGGGTTTATTCCGCTTGGTTTCAGTCCAACGATGAAAATCCCTTTTTCTGCAGAAGTGCAATGTGCCTGTGTAGCAAATGCCAAGGACTCTAGTTTTTGTTATTAAATTCAGTCTACTAGCCTTTTTTAAACACGGCTGACCAGGGCGTTTTCGGTCTCTGACTTCCCTCGAAACCCTGATTAATTTTGTAAGTAAGCTTTTAAAATGTTTTGCAAGATGTTGCACCTAGTTAGAAGTCCTTTTAGACATGAATAAGATGAAGTAAAGAAATCCTCATCAGTTGAAAGACTTCAGAATATAAATCAAAATTTGGAAAGCGCTCATTGACGAAGAATAAACTATGAGTTGGATCTTTTTTAAACGACGGTAGGTAACTGTTGTAATCATGCGTTTGGCAAATAACGCAATTTTAGCGTTGAGGTCAGAAGCGACTGCACTGCCAAATATAGCGGACAACACGCGCTATTCGAGACTTGTAAAAATATCTGAGTCTTCCAGCTAAGTAGCAGTTTAAAATAACCGTAGTTATGAAACTTTACTGTCCGTTATGTGAAAACTCGTTCGGGCAGACCAATGCATTTACCTTTTAGTGGTATTTCAAACGGAAGTAAAAGTAAATGTCTAACAGTTTCCTTTGTTGCTATATAAAGACGAAATACGCCAGCAAAACCCATTCTTGACAAAAACTTCCGTATTAAAAATAAAGTTAAGCGGTAACAGCCGTGCGGGCATCTTAGTTCGTAATTAGTCCACTGTGTTTCAGTTCTTCCGTTAGTCGACAGTTTCCCTCAAACTCCCGCTTCAACTGCATATTTTTTCTTCCCATTTAGACTTCCAATTCCACTCAACGGATCTTTCATCTTGCCTCCCTGCCACTATGGTCCCATGGACGACATCCATCTTTACTATCGGCGATGTCCCGGACCGATGAGGTAGACCTTGCAGTTTGATCTCGCACGGACGAAACCAAAGCCTTTGCATGCAGGAGAGTAAGCTAGTGCAAACAGACAGAAAGCCTTCGATTAGGCCCCTACAAATCGGTGCCTTTCATATTGAAATGATTCACCTCAAGAAAATTAAATAAGGAAGCTGTGTTTTTGCACATTTTTTACTCATCCACTCATCACCGTACCCGGTTAGGGTGCGACCGAAGAACAAATCCTCACCCCGTTCCCCTGGAGTTCATCATTTCAGTGAAGAGCCTATCTGACGCCGCCAACCTCCCCGCCCCCCCTCCCCCAACTCCCCTGCTCCTCTTGGTATATGTTACCCTCTCCAGAGTATCTGATGGTGGTGACTTATTTTCGTCTTCGAGCATATTTTGACTGGCGTTTCAAGTCTTCCTGATGCGCATCCTCGTTGGACGTGAGGCAAACTCTGTTGAGAAAGCACAACT